ACAGGGCTCAGTGATTGAAGCTAATCTATAAATCACGTATGTCTAATGGCAGCAAAACCAATGATACACAGCAAGTATTGTCATGTAACATTGGAGACTTTAGCTTGAGGGCGACGATATCGTTATTGTGGTTCTATAAAATTACGAGTCCCATTCCGTTATCGGTTTTGGTGGCCCACTAAGTGTGGTGAGACTATTTGTTCAGACAGGCAACTACTACAAGTAGCTTCCAGTGGCACTTGAGATTCGGTCAAAGCGGTCGTCAATTATCCGTAACTCGATAACACGACAACATCGCGAAGAACATCAGGTAAAAGAATTACCACAATTAAACGAAGGATAGCTGTAGAGAAAAATGCAGACGGTTATTCGAGGGAAGTACATCCCTCAATAAGTTAGCTGTAGGAGATTAACTTACTCCTGCTTGTTGGCAAAGTCAATGCCCCTCTGAACATCAACCTTCAGCTTAGTGATGACTTCCTGGAGCCTGCCGGCCTCGTGTTCGCTCAAGCCCTCAATGGGATGAATCTTGGAGACGCCTTCAGGTCCGAAGTCGCACAAGTAAGAGAAGTATTGAACATCACCGTAAGGCTCGTTGAAGAAAGTGGAAGCGCTAGCTTGTTCACCGTGCATGCCACGAATGACAACCTCGACGAACTCGGCGGCTGCATAGGCCATGGCAAGGGTGGCAGATCCAGCACCAGCCTTAGCGTTGACAACATCAGTACCGGCACCCTGAACATGGTTATCCAAAGCAGTGAGAGTGGACTCGTCGAAGTCAACCTTGGGAGTAGCATGAGAGAACCAAGGCATGATAGTCACACCAGCATGACCACCAATAACGGGGATAGTCACCTTGTTCACATCAGTCTTCAACTCCTTGGCAACGAAGGTCTCAGCCCTGATTGTATCCAAAAGAGAAACACCGAGAAGCTTCTTAGGGTTGAACACACCGGCTTGCTTATAGACCTCAGCGCAGGCAGGGACGATGGAATTCACGGGGTTGGTGACGATACACAGAGTAGCATCAGGAGCATACTTGGCGCAGTTCTTAGCAAGA